ATAAAGGTGCCTACAGAGGCCAGAAGAGGGTGTCAGGTCTTCTGGAACTAGAGGTATAAGAAGTTGCCAGCTGCCTGATATGGGTGCTGGGAACGGAAACGTGGGTCCTCTGTAAGAGCAGCAAGGGCTCTTAATTTCTGAGTCATTTCTCCATCTCCAGTTGTGGTATTTTTACACAAAGCAGTCAATTCTCAGACTCAGGTGAGCAAGGGACAGACAGGCATTGGTTTTGTTTGGATCCAAACACATCCCTGTTCCAGATTTTAGGATCCCATTCTTTATGCTCTGTCACATGAAAGTCTTGCTGAGACTATGAATTCAAAAGACACCGAGGCCTCAGCAACCGCACGGTTAAGGTTTTGTTTCCTATTTTTGGGAAATAGTGTGCCCAAGAGTCTTTTCCCATTATCGAAGACTTTGAGTCCTCAGTGCGTGACTTATGCTGAGGACTGAAGGGCATAAATGCTTCGTTTTCTTTTGGTAATCAATCAAGCACCCTCAGAAGAATTCACCCATTGCAGTCCTTACTGTCATGCAGTCAAGTGCCAGAGACAGCTGGTCTCTCAGATACATTCCTGTCACTTAATCATAGATGATACCATGATTAATTGTGATGTCACTGCCCGCCATGGATTGCTAGCATGCCATTTCCCAATGGCAGGTAGTCCAGCTGTTCCTTCAAGTCCAAAGGCACAGCCACACTCCCCGATCTAGTCTCTGTGGGGCTTTCCCTGTACCACTCCTGGTGTTGAGCCTACAAGCTGGGACTCAGTCAGGAGATGGAAACAGCACCATTATTTGGACAGCGAAATCAGTATATGAGGAAAAAGGAAAGCTGAAGATCTTCTCCCCTCGGCCTTTCTGTTGACAGGCTATCCATCAAAGGAACATTGCTAGCGATTGGACAAGTGAGGTCGGTCTCTGTGCTGAGGTGATGGTGACAAAGATAATAACCCTTGCAAAACAGCCCTCAAGGACACACACACACACACACACACACACACACACACACACACGCACACGCACACACGCACACACTTCTGTAAGCCAGAGAAGGAAATCCCCTTTTGTCTTTTACAGATTCAACTTGACTGCCAGCAGGAAAGTGCATCTCTCAGATTCAGCCACCAGAGGACAGCAAAGGACCAGCCAGCCAGTACACACACACACACACACACACACACACACACACACACACACACACTTCCAATCCTCAAAGCAGAAGAAGCTCCGGACTGGCTTGTGGGTGGGTGGGAGAGCAAAGAACAGTTTGAAGTCTCCATGACATGCTGGGCAACGGGTCTTTAACAAAACCCAACAGGGAAACAGGCAGAGGGATGGAACTAACAGGGTGTGTGCCTGGCAAAGGGAGAGGAACAGCCTGTGGGCCAAGGAGAGCGGGGTCAGGACAGAGTGCAGGGGGCTGGGGGCTGGGGTCTGGGGGCTGGCCAGTCAAACCCAGGGCTGTGTGGGAAGGACGCCGCAAGAGGCAGAGAGAGATCAGACCTGGGGTCTGCTGTTCTCTGGAAGTAGACATGGAGGAACAAACAGCTCTGAGAGGCTGTAGAAACGGGCGTTTCAGGTCCCATGGCCTCTGAACCTTGGCTTCCCCACTGTAGGTTGGGCCAAAAGTGATGATGTCTATGAATTGTGTAACCCAGTATCTGGCACAACCCACCATCCGCCTCTTTGCCACCTTGGCTTGGCTTGGCGTTTACCTCTGACCCAGGTATGGAGACGGAGATGGAGAGACAGCACAGCCCACCTGCTACCAGACTCGCTCTGGGCATCACGTCACGTTACTGTCACCTGTTTGCCAGTTCCTTTCAATGTTTCCCTACCCCCTAACCCTGGATTGTTGGAAAGCAAGCCCAGGAGTGGTGTGTGTCAGCCAGGACACTCCAGTATGCAGTAGATGTGACCCCAGTGACATCACAGCTCCCCAAACAGAATTCCTTCAACTGTGGATGAGACTTCTCACCATGCTGGGCTCAGGGCCCCAGGCCTGGCTTCTGTCCCTATCTCAGATCTCCCACTCCTGATGAGGGGACTTGCGGCCTGTGGGAACATAGGTAGCTGGTTCCACAGGAAGTCCATGTCCCTTATGCTCTGAAGCTTCCTTACTCCTCGGAGAAAGTACTGGTTGAGAGGGGGAATGGGAAGGCTTTCCTGGGCATACCGGCTGGTGGTCTCCACCTTCCGTAGAGCGTCCTGCCACCAGGAAAGCGTAGCACCCCAACCCCCACCTCCCAAGGGCTCACAGACAGTTGCAGACAGCTAGCTGGCCTGGCGTGTGTGTGTGTGTGTGTGTGTGTGTGTGTGTGTGTGTGTGTGTGTTTGAAAGCCTGTGCACACAAGTGGGGGAGGGGTGGGAGTTAAGAGTAGGGCAGGGGACCCAAGACCTCTTAACACCTCCCCTGAGACTCCAACATCAGGATAGATGAGGGAGGAAGTGTTAAGGGGGCCCTGAGCCCAGGACAGGCTGTTCCTAGTTGCGGCCAGCACTCTGAGGGAACAGCCAGCAGGCCTGACTCCCGAGAGGCAAGCCCACCCCCAACCATTACCCTCCTCCATCTCAGCCTCTCTTTTCCCTGCCAGGGGGACAGGCTCAGGCATCCTGGCCAGCCAGTTGCTGTTTGGATGCCCAACCCTGGTAAACTTCCAGGCTGTAGGGAACTGGGGTCAGGACACCTGAACTCCAGTGGGGCCTAGTTGGTAATCTCACAGCGGATCCGGTTCATTTCTAGGGCACCAAGCCTGGTCCAGAGGAAGCTGATAATAATTTGAGGACCCCCCCCCACCTCAGTTGTAGGTGTCAGGGCCTTCCAAGCCTCAGTTTCTCTCCCTGTCCCATCGGCATATTCCCCTCTGCTTTGGCTCCCCCAAGACTATTACACTGACATATGAAGTCAGAAAGCCCAGATAGCTGTCAGAGCCTTGGGAGAGAATCAAATCCTGCCTCTGTGGCATGCCCAGTGGGTGACACTGGGAAAGACCTTCCTTCTTGGGCGCCCTAGCTTGTTCCTAGGCCTGGGCTGGCTTCTCACATTCCTCCAAGATCCCTTCGTTGGTGGCTGTGCTCTCCTAGCCCTCTCTTTTAGTGGCTGCTGCCTCTGGACGTGAGCATTAAGTACAACCAGAAATCCTTCCTGTCCAGGAGAGTTATTGATTTCCACAGTTTCGGGAAGTGTCGAAATCCAGCCTGTGTTTGCTTTGGGTTTGTTTTCTTTCCATGGAGCACAAAGAGCACGTGGGACACACACACACACACTCACACACACACACACACACACACTCACACACTCACACACACACACACACACTCACACACACACACATTCTGTCTCTCCCCTCCCTCCCCCCTCTCTCTTTCTCTTTCTCTCTCTCTCTCTCTCTCTCTCTCTCTCTCTCTCTCTCTCTCTCTCTCTCTCTCTCTCTCTCTCTCTGTCCCTCTCTCCTCTGGAGCGGGACAGGAGTGGAAGGAGGCTGGGTCAGGAACCTGAAAGTCAATCTGGAAACTTCAGGCTGGACTCCTAGTGATCGAATAGCACAGGGGGCCTAGGCTCAAGGCTCACTCCCCTGAGCTAAGTGTTGCTGGCTAAGTTGCAGACACTGAGACCAAGAGGCCACCTCCTCTGGGCCTGTCCTAGTGCCAAGCAGCTGCTGGGACTCATGTACACTGGCCTCTTTTATCTGCACAGTGTGCTGAGGGAGTGGGGCCTCAGAGAGAAGGGCAGTGGGGGTGGCAGGACTAACCTAGAAAGCAACCCTGCAGAGGACAGGGTGCTCTCTGCTTGGCGCCTCTCTAGGTGCTGGTGGCCAGCCGTTCGAGGTCCCAGCAGTTGGCACGTGACCATGAGAATCATTCTGTCCTTTCTTCACTCTGCAGTGTGGGGTCCCCTCCGCTCTCACCTGCTTGGCTGAACTGGCAGGCTATATCCAAGCAGACCCAGGCCTGCCTGACAGTTACACTCTGAAGAAAAAGGCTTGGTGGCTTCCAGGGGGTCCACCCTACAGCCCAAATCAGACAAGGCTCTTCTTGCTTCCTGAGTGAGCTGCTGCTGTTCTAGCTGGTCCTGTCCTCTCCCCTCTGGTTTTCTCAGCCCCAGGCCACAGCCTAGAGGCAGGAGCTTGACCACACACATGCACTTTGACCTAACCAAATTTAGTAACCTGGACATTTCCTCCCCATTCCCACCAGGCGGCAGTAATCTTAGATGGTAAGCTGGCTCCCAGCCAGGAACCGGATGCCCCTTCAGTGAGGCTGGAGGCCCCTCCCCATCAACCCCTCACTGACTGTACTATTAGTAACCCCCCAAGGGTCATAAGGGGGCTCCTCAAACCAGGCACTTGCTCAGGGTGCACAGCCCACCCAGGGGTCTTTAAGAACTCAAGGACGTGTTCAGACGGAAGTCTTTGTATCGCTGCCTCTGGAGGTGACCGGTGAACAGCAAGACTGAAGGGGGAAGTACTGGCGCTTGGCCAAGAGGCTTCATTTGGACTAGCAGCCTCTGGTGGTGTTGCTTTATCCCTACAGATGCCAACCTGTGACAGCCCTATCAAGTCCTGGCCTTGCTCAAAAGAACTCCCTATTTGCTCTTCCTTTGTTTGCATGCGATCACCAGTGTCTCGGACCCCAATCCTGGGCTCATACTCAAGTATGTGCAGCCACAACAGAGCCCAGGGCTGCGCCGAGACTGAGTTACTCCTATATATGGTTACCCAGGAGTGGGAGTCCCATCCCAAGCTAACGTGTGACTTAATCCGCTGACAATCTCACCCACTTGGGGGAGAGCCCTCACTCTGCAAAGGGTGTTCACTCTTGAGGGCAAAGGAACCGGGAGGAGGCAGGTCAATCATGGAGACAGGACAAAGGCCGTAGGACCAGAGTTGAGGGAACCTAAATGCCATTCAGGTTCTCCCCACCCGACTTCGAGCCCCACACCTGTGAAAACGCCCAGCTTCCCCCATACTCCCCGCAAACAAACCCACAAGCCTCCTTCTTTCCAAAGTCCTTTTAATACAGCACAGAAAGGCTATATTTTCATAGGCAAGCCGTATACAGAGTCTCCAGGAATAAGGCACACAACGGAATGCCACCCCGAGGCCGGCCCTTCAGGGAAGGTCAGGAGCCTTCTCCACGCACCCTCCAGGCGGGGGCTCACGGGTTCTGTTTGTCTTCTTAGCTGAACACACACACACACACACACACACACACACACACACACACACACACACGAACAGACACACAGACAAGGACAGGATCACCACTGGGGGGGGAAGGGTGCAGGGGTTGGTACAGGGAAGGTGACCATGAGAGCAAGCAATGGATCTCACTGCCACCTCCCAGAAGGCCGCAACACCCCTTACATCACTGTTAGTTTGTTGCACTGGCTACAATGTAGTGAGGTTGGGTTAGACTTTTGTTTAGAGTAGATTCAAGTCCATTAGATGCTAAAGAGCAGGTGTAAGGGCTCAGGCGGACAGATCCAAGGTCCAGGAGCATGGGGCTGAAAGGCAGGGCTGGGGCAGGGAGGAAGCCTGCCTCCTTCCTGTTTTTCGTGTACCTCCTTGGGTCTTGCTGGCAAGGCCAATGGGCTGGACCCGCTCGCCCGATGTGTCCTTTTTTCCCTTGCCCATTCCCTGCCCTCTCCTAAAATATTAATAAAACCATAATAACAAGATAACTACATGAAGGTTCAGGAGAAAAGATGACAATTGCCACCTGCCAACCTCAGAGGAAGAGGTCCAAAGGATCTCTGTTCCCTTTTTACCATGTTGTCCACTGATAATTCCCCTTTAAAAAAGCAATACTTCCCAAATACACAAATATATAAATACAGGACAAGAGCTTATTAATAAGTCTAAACACTTGAATAATATACTGGCTGCTTAATACTGATATTTTCATCCAAGGAAAACAAAATAGAAAAAAACCCAACAACATAGCTTAAAGGATTACAAAGATTTTTTTCCTCGTTAGAATTATGTACCAACTTCATATAATAATTCTATGTAGATAATATTTCCTTCTTAATGTAGCTCAGTTGCACACTTTTTACAGACAAAAGCATAGAAAAAATAACAAGAAAAAAAGGGAAAAGTTCTTACTATAAATACTCTCTTACAGGTCAACCAGACTTGCAAAACTAGGTCTAGGAATCTGTTCGATATGGATTGCCCTCTCAAAGCACTGATTTTTTTAAATGCCTCTTTTTGTTTTCAGTTTCAATAATATCAAGCAATCCTAGTATTCTTTTCTTTAAAAAAAAAAAAGACCCTCAAGTATATACAAACAAAAATCACTATGAAGAATTTTGCGGGGAGAGGCTACCAAGTTCAGTGTCGTAAGATAAACTGGTAACCATGCAGAAATTTTAACATCTATCAATTTTTTCCCAAAATACACACATAGAATTTTTTTAAAAAAAGAGTTCTGTGTCAAGTATAACTCAAAATAAATACAAATTCACAAGTAGAGCTATTGAATACTTCATGTGGGGTAAACACCATTCTCTCTCTCTCAACTAGATCACTAGATCTACTGACTGCAAGCGATTGTCCCTTTTGTATGTACTAAAACCACACACTTTCTTGTCTCCTGGGCTCCCGTGCCCTCTGAGCATTAACTCTTCCAGCACCCAGCCTAGACAGTGGTATCTTTTGCTCTCCTCAAAAAAAGATCACACGCTCAGCCAAAGCATTGCAAGGCAGGACCAGGGAGGGGCTGCCTGAGGCAAGAGGCCCTGGCCATGCACAGATGTCCATGCAGTGACCCAAAGGACCACTGCAGGGAGATGTCCCACCTTCTGCCAGCCCTGGCTTCCTGAAGACTGTCGCCGGGCTCTTTGAATCTTGGACCTAGCACACCCATGCCCAGCTTGTCCTCATCTGGGACACAAGCACACTGCCCACTGAACACTCTCTGCAGAGGCCCAGTGGGATGATTGACAGAAGGAAGTATCCCTTTCCTAAGCCACAGGAAGCTGGGCCCGGGGCAGCCCTCCTGCAACAGCAACGCTGGAGAGTCTTCCGGTCTGGATGCTCACAGTCTGCAGCCCAGCTCGCCACCATTCGTGGGCAGCAGGGTGGCAGCTGGTGCCCCGGAACCGCCACAGATACCTTTGTTAAGTGTTCAGAGGGTACGTTCTCCCCACATCTATCCCGCAGCGAGCTGGCTGAAGATACCACCCATCTCTTCCACTCACTCCCTGGACCCTTGGTTAACACGTCACTGTGACTCCTCGGTCGTACAAAGCATTTTCATTTGAAAATAAAGGGCAACTGGGCACCATGTGTAAACACTGAATTTCAGGCCTGTTTCACGGTCTGACTGGTTCTTTTTTTTTCTCTTTCTCTTTTTTCTTTTTTCTTCTCCATAGAGGCGTAGTGTTGGGGCAGAGTCAAGCTCCTCAGTCCTGGCAGCTGGTGAAGAGGAGAAAGGCAGAGAAGTGTGGCTTGTCACAGGGGGAGGGGGTGCGCTGCCGACCCTGGTCAGGACAGCGGTCCTCCTGGGCCATGTGACATGCCAAGAGAGATCTCTCTGCCTTCCTAGAAAAGCAGGAAATCACTATCCCCGGTTTCCAAAGGAGAGGTTCTGTGGCTCATTTTAGGTTTGCCCACGGTGAGGGGTTGAGGAGACCTGGGGAGGGGGGTGGTCACCTTCCATCTTCTCAGGGGAAGGGAATATCAGGCTAGGAGGGCTGTAGGAGAGGACCTGACAGCACTCAGCCTGACTACCTAAGTGGGGACCAGGATTTGGAAGGCAGTGCACCTAGCAGTCTAGGGACGTCCCATCCCCCACCCCAGCGACTCTCTGTGTTCCAGAGGCAGCCAGCTCTCTTCTAGAACACCAAAGCTCAATGGGGCCTCTTGGCTTTCTGGTGGCACTTTCTCACTTAACTAGTAGGGAAACCGAGGCTGGAAAGATGAGATGTCCCAGAACGCCGAGACCTGCATCCTTCATGCCAAAATAGGTTTACGGATTTTGGGGGAGATGTGTGTGTGGCATCCCTGATGTGGATGGCAGGCAAAGGATGAAGACCGAGCAGCTGACAGGACCTTAGCCTACAGGACAGCCTGGGGGAGCACTGTTGGCTGTTTAATGTCCCTCCGCCCCCCCCTCCTGCTGGTCCCATTGGCAGAGAGAGCCGGGTGCAATGCAGTGATATCAGGGGTGGTCAGATTTGGGACTCAATGTGGGCACGACAGAGGACCACTCCCCAGCAGCTGCTAGAACAAGCGACTGCCCCTCTGTGTACAGATTAGGAATGGAACAGGACTTCCCCAGAGTGGCTTTTCATAGGAGACAAGCTGCAAGGTCCTGGGAAGGAGAGGGCCTGACTGGTCTTGGAGGGAAGACGTCCCGCAGGCCTCAGGATTCACAGTTCACTTAGTGTACTTGCGGCAGATACAAGTAGCCGTTCAGCCCCAAAGACGCTCAGGGAGAGAGCCTGGGAGGACACCACAGCCTCTGCTGGCCTCTGTCCCTGAGCCTCCCTCCATCTCTGCACCCTGTCGGGGGCGTGTCAGCCCAAGAGACCAGGACATGAGCCTCCTGTGCTTAAGCCCACAGGCCTGTGAGGTCTCCTCAAGTATGAGGCCATTCAGCCCTTTGGGCAGCGCAGGGAGGTGGCATCTGCGGGGCGCTGCGGTGGTGGCCAAGGTCACTGCACGCGGCGACAGTAGTAGCCCAGGACCTTGCACTTCTCGCAGAGGTGCTGCGGATGCTCCTTGCTCTGGTCAGACACATCCAGGCCATCAGGCTTCTCCAGGGGTCTCTGCAAAGAGAAGAAGGGAGGGGCGGAGGGGAAGGGATTGGAGGGGGGAGAGAACCTGCAGTTACAGAGGTAGCTCAGCCAATGCTTTGGCTCCCCCACCTTTTGCCTGTTTGCAGACACATGTGTCCAGAAGGCTCAGGTGAAATTTCTGGGCTAGCTATAGAGCCAAGGCAGGGGTCTCAGACCCGGAACCATGGGCTTGATCCACAGTCCTCTCTGGGCAACTGTCCCCTGAATGAAGCTCAGAGAGCTCCCAAATCCAGTCCAGGATCAGCGTAGGACAGGGGATGCAAAGACATCTGCCAGATGAAAAAAAAAAACTGAGCCTCAGGCAAAGGGAACCCCACCTCACATCTGTGCCTCTGTCACTCTAGTGGTCTGGGGAGTCAAAAGATTATCCTGGACATAGCTACAGCACTTCAGCCCAAGGGGCAACAGGGCTCTTAGTTCCATAAAGCCTGTCTGGGGCCTGGGGTCAGTCTCAGCCTGGATCCTGGCCCGGTTCCTGCCCATTTATTGAGCAACCACATAAACAGAGCCTCATTGTCTTCTAATGGGGAAACTGAGGCCTAGAGAAAGGAGGCAACTTACCAGGCCCATTGGGTCACCTCCGCCCCATCTACAAAGCAGGCTGTCCCAGTGCTCATTTGCAAAGTTTGGAGGGACCCTGAGAGAGGTTAGCTGTTGGTAACCTGGGCTGCATTTAGGCACACGGTAGCACCTTTCTACAAAACTACATTTGTTTTCTTGCGTGTGTGTTAAGCGTGTGTGTGTGTGTGTGTGTGTGTGTGCGCGCGCGCGTGCGCGCGCGCTGGGTTTCCCTGCCTGCTGTCCCTCCTTACCCCACCCACAACAGCCAGCAAAGACCTGTAAACTTCGCAGAGACCACAAGGAGTGTCTCTGAAGTGGACAGCATTTCAATTGGCCACAAAGACTCCTGTTTTCCTTCCAACCCCAGAATGACACCTGGCTGCAGAAGGGTCCTCGGCACAGACGTGGAGGCTCAGAGGAAGCTCAGGGCCAGTTGGAAGCCATCTGGCAAGAAGAGGGGGGCAGAAACTATAGGCTCACATGGGGTATGGGGCAAAGACCCTTGGATATCAGTAACGTGCCCAGGATGGTCAGGGGGAGGGCAGCTGAGATGAATGCTACCCACAGGGAAGACTGTTACTCAACCAGCTGTTTTTCTACCCGGTCCAGCCAGGCCTTGACCCAAGCCGGCATTCTGAGCAGTTGGGTAAATGGAATGGAGAGTTCGGAAAGGTGAGGGTTTAGGCTGCAAGTGGGCAGGATTGTGCTTTTTAGCTGCCCTGGAAGCAGGTATCATACAACTCAGTCCTTTTTCAGCTTTAGCTACAAAGGAAAGAGCTGGAAGGAGGAGAGCCTGGGCTTGGAACTAAGCGCCTTCCAGAGGACTGGCCTCACCCCTCCTATTCTATCCCAGCAGGGGAGAGGAGAAGGGGTTTGACTTCCTTGCAGACCAGGTCCCAGATGGGAGCTCGGCCTCCAAACCCTGACTGTGTGGCCTCGGCTCGGCCACCCTGACCTCTCTGAGACCGCTGTCTCATTCCCTTCAGTCAAGTGGGTAGCTGGTTCTTTTTCAGGGAGTTGTTCTCAGCAAACCTAGTGAAGACCAAGACCAGATAGAGGGATGGTACTTCAAGGTACGGGTGTTGTTTATTCTTAATATAGATGAGAGGGGAGGCAGTGACATAGGGTCATTCAGAGCAGGAGGTAGGTGACCCTCCTGCTGTCCCAGATGTCCCAGAGAATGGGAGCCGGCATGGCCCCCAGGGTTGGGAAGCTTGACCTCTGTGGCTGAGCACAGTCCCTGGTCATTGTATGCTCCATAAGAAGGACCATCTTGAGCTGGAATCTGGGTCCCTACAGTTTCATCTTGGAGGCCCCAGGCACTCAGGGCCTCCTGCTCAGCTCCCAAAGGATGGTCCAGTTAGTGCAGCCCTGACATGTTACCTACCCCAGACCAAACCCAAGCTGATGTCTAGCCATTTTCTACTGCTCCCCACAGCCCACTACCCATGGCCTCCATGAATCAGCCTTTTAGTAGGGGATAGAGGGACAGGAGTGAGCCAGCCAGCTTCTACTGCCTTGGGCCGGAGGACTGGGCTCTGCGTGGCCAGGCCACGTAACTCAGAGTGCCTCAAGGACACAGCTTCCACTGGAGTGGTGGGTTAGTTACCGCGTGAGGAAACCTTAAGCAATTTAAAAGCCTTGTCCACCCCAGCCGTGGTGGCGCACGCCTTTAATCCCAGCACTCGGGAGGCAGAGGCAGGTAGAGCTCTGTAAGTTCAAGGCCAGCCTGGCGTACAAGTTGAATTCCAGGACAGGCTCCAAAACTACACAGAGAAACCCTGTCTCAGGGGAAAAAAAAGTCTTGCCCAGAGGCCTCCAGGGAGGAAATGGCGGTTCTCAAGCCCCAAAGCCCCACACTGTTGGGAATGCAGCTGTCCTCATCCTGGGGCTCAGGGCTGGCTCTATATCTCATGCGCTCAGATCCCTGACTTTCTGTCCCCAAGGTAGCATCCTCCTGTGAGGCTGTTCCCACTCTGTGGTCCTGGCTCCTGAGGACTCACTACTGGAGCCTGCCCTGCTCTGACCACCCTGCGGGGGCACTGCTGTCCTGGGTTTCATCCTAGATGTTGACAGGGGTCCAGTGCTCCGGGGGGATAAGGGCAGAGCCAGTGAGGAGAGCTGAGAGACTTGAAGAGTACTCTGGGAAACTGCTCTGCCCATGTCTCTGCAGTGTAACCACATCTCTGCAATGGCCCGTGGTACCACAAGTCAGGTGGCTTTGAACCCTCTGCCATCCACTGGGTGATGGCTGCAACCTCAGTGTGTGTATGTGTGTGTGTGTGTGTGTGTGTGAGAGAGAGAGAGAGAGAGAGAGAGACAGACAGACAGAGAGAGACAGAGAGAGACAGAGAGACAGAGAGACAGAGACTGTCTTAAAGGACTCTATAACCACAAAGACTTCATAACATCTATACAGATCGTCAGCATCAAGGCATTCAACCTCTCTGCTTGATTTTCTCCTCCATGAAATGTATCTAACAGAGAGCCTGTCTGACACAGTGTTGTAGTGAAGAGGGTGGTGAGAATTGCACCCGGCTAGCGGGGAACCTTCCATCCACACACTGGCCAGAAGTAATGTTGCTCATTATCAGGAAATACTTTGAAGAGGCAGGATCATCAGCTGAATTCTTGGGACATGCTCTCTGACCCTCCTGGCCAGCCCTATCTCGGGGTGCCTTTGAACTGCTCTTCTCTTTGGCCTTGGTGCTCAGCCTGCAGCCGCAGACTGACAGTGGGGAGTTTGGGGGGAGCTGTCAGGATGACTCCCCCTCTGTGGAAGGAAACACCCAGCAGCTGGGACTGATCTGTGAGGTCTCCTCCGCCCCCAGCAGGGAGGCAAAGCCCATTAGAGTTTTCTTCTCTTCTGGGGGGGCGGGGAGGGCTGGGTTGTCTCGGGGAGATGCAGTTGGAGCCTGACAGGAAACAGATGTAGTGGGGGGGGTGGGCTCCTCAGAAGGGTGAGGTGGCCCAGGTCAGCACTGGGGGGGAGGGGCAAGAGCTCTTCTCCATCCCCAGGCTCCACGGCCTGCCTCCTCGAGGAGAGCAAGGAGGCCGGGTGTTCCCGAATCTCAAGCCAGAGACAGAAGCACAAGAGCCCAGGAACCCAGAGCTTGGCCTGGAGTGAGGATGGGGAGGGGGTTACAAAGTGTGTTGTACCCCAGTCTCCCCAATGGACGCAGTAGGTGCTCAACAAATTCTGGCTGGATGATGGTGAGTGGAGAAAAATGGAGACCTTGAGAGAGTCTTCTAGATTGGACCCCCTCTGTGCAGAGCCAGACTGGCAGGTCAGCCGGCTACACTCAGGCTATGCTGGTGGGGTATGGGGGAGGAGGAAGGCAGGGAAAGTTATCAGTGTCTGAGGGATAGCCTGGACTCAGTAAGTAGTAGCCTGCCCTGCCGGACACCGGGGCACACTGGAACACCGTGGGGTGTTGGATTCCCCTGGCTCTGAGTGTGTGAGTTGGCTCTGCCTCTCCGCCTAGGTCGTAAGGCTGTTAAGTGAGTCCCCCACTGCAGCCCAGATCATCGGAACTCTGACACTGGACACCTTGTAGAAATTGGGCTATCCTAGCCGGGCGTTGGTGGCGCACGCCTTTAATCCCAGCACTCGGGAGGCAGAGGCAGGCGGATCTCTGTGAGTTCGAGGCCAGCCCGCTCTACAGAGCGAGTTCCAGGACAGCCTCCAAAGCCACAGAGAAACCCTGTCTCGAAAAACCAAAAAAAAAAAAAAAAAAAAAAAAAAAAAGAAATTGGGCTATCCTAACTCCGCGTCCCAGTCAGTCACCACAGCGGCCTAACCCTTTCTGCCTACCCGACACAGAGAATGCCCTGCCCATCCTCCCCACCCCACCCCCAGGCCCACCCACCTACTGCAGGCTGTCCAACCCCATCCTCAGTCCCACACCTTAGCCCCGCCCCACCCAGAGGCCCCGCCCACCCACCTGCTTGTGTGGGTACACGTTGATATGGCACTTGATGCACTCCTGCCCCATGTTGGCCCAGGAGTTCCCGCTCATCCACTTTCTCTTGCACTTGGGGCACTTGTACTCTCCAAAGCAGCGCTTCTTGCCTTGGTACGGGGTCAGACCCTCACCTTTGGGGCGTGCCTGGAGGACAAGGGGTAAACACAAGGAGATGGTGCCTCAGCCTTTGGCTCTCATAGCCCGCACCCTATCCCCATACGCTAGCCCTTTTGTCACCTAGAAACCTAGAAAACCTAGAAAATAAGAAAGGTCACCTCCAGAGCACGCACGCCGACCCGAAGGATAGGAGCGCCCTAGTTGCGCCAGGACAGAGATAGAGGGGTGCAGGGTTTCTAAAAGAGTTGCTTCTTCACCTCGGATGTTGCAGGGGCAGCTGGATGGCTGTTGGTGCTTTGTCCCGCCAGGGACATGACCGCAGGAGAACAGAAACCAGTGTCTGATGGAAGGGATCGTCCCAGCTGTCCCCTGTTCTGACCGTGGGCTCCCCTACCTGCAGGAAATCATTTTCTAGGCTGGTTTTGCAGGCAAACCTTCTGTCTCAGCCTCCGGGATTTGGGGAAGACAGAGAAACACACTCTTGTCTAGTCCCTGAGGCATCCCTGCATCCTCTGTGTGAGCCCAAAGGCGGTTCCACATTGACGAACACATCAGTGTTTATGTCTAGGCTCCCTGTCACTCACCAGACAGAAGCAGATGACACGTGCCTCGCTCTTTCTTTTGAAATACAAGGTCTCACGTGTCACAGTCTGGCTTTAACTTACTATGCAGACCAAGGCGGTCTTGAATTTCTAATCCTCCAGCCCTGCTTTGCCATGCTGGGGTTTCGGGCATGTACCACCACACCTGCTTTTATGGTATGCCGGGACTCAAATCCAGCATGTGCGAAGCCCCTCTACCAAATGAGCTACATCTCCAACCCCAAAATAATCCTGGTGTGACCTTCATGTCCGTCCCAATAACTACTGCATTCTGCTTCACAGCTGAGTGGTGGGGGACTTTGTGAGAGCTCGCAGCGTGCCGCCGGGAGTGCTCTCCACACGTGTCAACTTACATGCCTCCGTCAAGTGAATTTCCAGAAGTGAAACTCCTGGGGCAAAGGGTGCGCGTGTGCACTACTTTTAGTGATAATACCTATTTGCTGTCTCCTCCCCTCCCACAACGGCTTCAGCAGCTTCATAGCCCAGATCCCCCCAGGAGCAGTGCCCTAGCTAAAGCTCCCATTTGTTTACAGCTCAGCTTTCCACAGGCTTGCTCTCCTCAGAGAGAGGACTCAACGGAGACTCTCGGAAATAAACAACCCATAAGCTTTTAAACTGTACACAGTTCCGAGGAACAAGATAAGGGCTCTTTCCATGTGCCTGGGTCTCATCGGCCCATGTATCCCAGCTATACATGCTACCTGCTGATTAGTTGTTCGGTGACTGGCTGTTACTGAACGAACCGCAGTATCTACAGCGCCTTATATTCAAGCGGCCCTCATTTTGCATAGCAACTGCCAAGGGGCACAGAAGTAGGGTGGCAGACAACTCATATGCCAAGGAGAAGTCATAAAGTGCTTCCATTACCCGAAAAGGGGAAAATGTGCCGATATTGTAAAGAAAGAAAGAAAAAAATCTGAGGGTGCTATGCACACCTTTTGGCGGAAACAAATACTCCGTTGGAAACCCAGGAAAGAAAGAGGATCCATGCTAGATTTGGTCTTACAATTCCAAGTCCTAGTTTACAGTGCAGGCATCCGAGGGTCTTGAAAGGCACCTTTCTCTACCTTAGGGGGAGCCAGAGTATCACTAATCTAAAAGGTACAAAGGCTTCTTAGAGGAGGTTTCACAGACACCTTTCATACTGAGCAAGACACATCCAGGCACGTATTTACCAATGGTTTGCTTATACTTCATGGACTGTTTCCTTTAGGGGGTTAACTTTAAAAGTGTGTGTGTAAGCACGCGTGCGTGCGTGTGTGCGTGCGTGCATGTGCATGTGTGCACGCATGCATGCCTGCCGCAGTCAAAAGCGGGCATCCTATCCCCAGGAACTGTACTCCAGTGCTCTGCAGCAGCAGCAGAAACACTGACCACCGAGCCATCTTTCCAACCCTGGTCCTTTTTCTTCTTGATTTGCAACAAGGAAAAATATAGACTTGTGTTTGGTATACGAAAGAAGCCAGTGCTCCCCCGCACAGCTTGACACCTTCTGTTGAAATATCGATAACGCACACCTCACTCGTTGCAAATGGTCATGTCAGTGGTTCTTGGTCTACTCAGAGGTGCACAGCCATCATCAGCACAACCTAACTTTAGGACACGCTTGCCACCTGCGCTCACTCATACTCACTCCCCTTCCCCTACTTGTTCGTCCCTGTGATCTCCTTGCTGCCTCTGTGGGCTTCCTGAGCTCATCCTCTTCCTTTGGTGTGGCTTCTTTCACTTGATGTGACGTTTCTGAGGCTCAGCTACGCTGAAGCCCGTGTCCGCACTGTACCCTCTCTTGCTGCCAAATACTATCCACCGCACGCCAATGCCACGGCACAGGGCACACCGGGCTACTTCTCAGTTGGCGTAGTCATGAATAAAGCTGTTGTGAGCCTACATGTGCGCACAGAGGATGGTTTCTACAAGTTAGATTTGTTTTATCTTTAAAGATTTGTTTTTTTTTCAATGTGTATGAATGCTCCAACCGCGTGTACACCTTTATGCCAGAAGAGGGCATCAGATCCCATTACAGGTGGTTGTGAGCCTCCGTGTGGGTGCTAGGAATTGAACTCAGGACCTCTTGTCAGAGCAGTCAGTGCTCTTAACCACGGAGCCATCTCACCAGTCCTAAAAGTTAGATTTGTTACCGCAGGATTTTAAGCTGGGAGACTACCCATAGCTGTTTACCCATGCCAGCCTCGGAGTCTCCGATAGCTGAGGCATGGCTGGGCATCAGAGTCAGCGCTCACTCTCCGAGGCACCTCTTCTTGCCACAGCTCTCTCCACATAGCTCACCCGCTCGGCTCTTGTGGGCCTTGAGTTTGAGGGCGCCCTGCACCGGGCTCTGCGGTAAGCGTGCCGCCCTGTCTGGCAGTGACAGGGATTGTCTGGTAACATGCTAGAGAAGAAGAACTTGAGCCCCACCTTAGATTCAGCCAGTCAGAACCTGTGCTCATGTGTGTTGGGGGCGGGGTGTGTAGGCATCTCTGTACATGTGCACGTGGAGGCCGGGGGTCAAACAAGAGGGTCTGGGGGTCTCTCTCAACTATGCTCTTCTTTTTTTTTCCTGTCGCTGATCCTGGAGCTTGGCTTGGTTGGCTACGCAGCAAGCTCCAGGAGTCCTCCTGTCTCCATCTGCCCGATGCTGGGTTATCAACGACTGTCCAGCTTTTTCTGTGGGTACTGGAGAGTGAACTCAGGGCCTCATGCTTGAGGAGCAAGCACCTTTCCCCCACGGAGCCATCTCCCGATCCCAGAATCTGCATTCTGAAAAGATCCCCTAAGAATTCCACCCCCACCAGGTTCAGGGAGCTTGTGGTATGGGACGGTCATTGTCACGGTAACCCCGAGTGACTGCTTGCTTAGGAAACGGTGTATAGAGGTAAAGGTGCAGACTCTGATTCAAATCCTAGCTCTGCGACTCCTTCTGAGAGTGTTTTGAGGCTAGCGAGGAGGACTCAGTGGGTAAAGGCACTTGCTGCCAACTCTGATGGCCTGAGTTCAAATCTGGGGACCCACATGATGAAGAGAGATGAATACCTCGAGTTGTCCTTTGACCCACCCCCACATGCATGCCATAGCAGGCATGTGCATAGACATAGATAGCTAATATCTACAATAAAAACTCTTTAAAAGGGTATTCTGAGCATCAAGTGATACAGGTAAACCCGGAGAACAGTGGGGTCATCGGCCCTACTGTTATTTACTAATCTGAAGTCGTATATCAGTATGCAAGACGATAATTTCTATAAATTGTGTGTGTCTGCTGTTGTTTTCCAGCAGCCTCTCACATCACTAGGTGACGTCTGCCTAGAGTTCCAGGCAAAATAGTTAAAAGAGAGAGAGATGCCGAGAGCGAAAGTAAAACTTGGGAAGCGAGCACAACACAGTCCTGAATTTTGGGCTCCCCTGCTTGATAACTACTGGATAACGGTGGTATCTCGGGAGCAGGTTCAATATGAGCCCTGGCAAGGCCCCGAGAGACGGCAGTGCTGTGAGTCATGACCTGGTCTACTCAACTTGGGACAAGAGGCTGCCTGTGAGGCGGGAGCTTTTGGGGGTATCCAGTCTGCAGGGTTTCCCGAGTCCCCCTGAAGTCAGTTTCCCCACTGCCACCCAGCACCTAGTACCGCAGCTCTGGGTATCTTGTACGCATATGCCCCTTGGTCCTGTCACCCAGAAGTAAGGCACCATACGCATGTGCCCTCCTGCCTCTGTTTCCAAAGGTGTCTGCCTATGTCGACGGGGGTGGGGTGGTGGTGATGGGGGTGAAATGCTTGCTCTGCGAGCATGCAGACCTGAGTTTGACTCTGAGGACCCATGAAAACTAGCCCAGTGTGGCAGTGTATACTTGTAATCCCAGTGACAGACAAGAGCCTGGGAGCTCGGTGATGTTCCTGTCCAATTAAAGACCCGTCTTTCTAAAGACCCATCTCACCCGTCTCAAAAGAAAGGTACACGACACCCGTGCTGTTCTCTGACTCCCACACACATATTAATGCATACCACACATGCATGCAAAACACAGTCAGTCGCACACAGACACACAAACAGGGGGGTGTCCTGTTACACAGAGGCTTTGCCTAGCTGATGGAGGGATTTAGGGCCCGTCCCCCGCAGGTTGGCTCTGGAATCTGCAGACCTCCCCTTGCTCAGAGAGCTCTGGAGACCTGGGGCTTGCCTACCATATCCAAAGGACAGAAGTGGAGGGATCAAGTCATCCTAGCACATTTGGAGCAAAACATGGGCCTCGTCAGGATTAGAAGTAAAAACTTGGGAATTTACAGCCCAGAGTGCCTGACTCTCTGGGTAACGGGAGCTCACGTGTGCTGTGAGGTATAGATGGTAACAAAAGGGAGGTTAAACAGGCCGAGTGAGTGAGGAGCAGAGCCACCCTCAGAATTAGATCGTGGCCCTTTTGGCGTTGTCTGCTGG